GTTCTATGACTTATTTTTTCATACCGACAGAAAATATAACAAATAATTTTTTCTTATTTCTCAAGGCTGCAAGGCCAACATGCTAAATCTGTAGCCACCATGTCCATACAACCATAAATCTGTAGACAGATCAACACATAATTAAATTCCTAAAACTTATATTTTTAGATATTCTAAAAAATGAAATAATATAATTCTAAAAAATGAAATAATATAGACATAATAACAGAGATAGTGTATCTTTGCGGTTCACAGACTTTTAGGCTTTGGGACACTTCTCACATGTCTTATGTTGGAAAGATATTCAAGCATGGTTGTAAACATTGCTTTGTTTGAGTGTGTTATTTGTCAGTTTTCTGTTGTGTATTCAAAAATTAGTTGATCAACCGATTCAATTGTCATTATGCCTTCCGAGGAGCTTTAGTTTAGGTGCAATGATAAGAAATTAGACCCAAAAAAGCTGCGATAGATTACTGGATTAGATAAAAATTAGCTAGACTATTACTGTATTACTATATTAGTAGCCAAACTGTAAGTAAGCGGTTAAATATTTAAAATTAAATTCATTTTAATGAAAAATACCATAAATAAAATATTATTATCAAAAATTATTACCAACAGTACCATATTAATAGGATATACATGGTTATACATCCATGAAAGAATTCGTATTTAACACCAGAACACCATCCATTTATTCCATATTCCAGCATTCATACGATTACAAAACGATACAATAGGCCAACATACGATCCCCCGGGATAAATATGTAAATCCTTCCTTCCTACAATATTCAGATATTATTATTTTCAAGATGAGCATGTAAAAACAAGATTTCCCAATTATTATTCATCTTCTAATTACATACTAATATATAAACTTTTGTATACTATATATCCAGATATCTGTATATACATAAGATAACAGGCTTTATACACCGTTACATAATAAACTTAGCCCTCTTGCTGTCTTGTAAAATTAGGTACGGTAATTTTCTAAATTGCTCTATTTTATTTCTACATTTTGAAGTGTGACATGACATTTTTAAAAATTATTGCATTTCGATGCAACTAAATAGGCCTTTAATAATAACTAAAACTGATGATTTTGAACAAGTAAACCAGTCGGTAAGCGCCAACTTTTTATAACACTCTCCAAATGAATATCAAAAGTATAGTATAAGTTTCCCGATCTTTTCGTCGCCCTTGTCTGTGTTATTTTGTGTTCGGTGTTGTCAAGTTGTAGACGAAAGACCAAAATAAAATTGTATTGTATTTATTTCGACTCCATAATCCTGTAATCATAACAGGGAAAATTTTCTGGGGTCAAGGGTCGGGGAAAGATCCATGGCGAGATGAAGGAAGATTTTTTATTGGATACCAACGAAACAGCAAAATAAATATATTTAGTGCCAAAGTTCCCTCAGCTGTATTAAATTATTCCACTGAACACAACGCTTTCTATAATAAAAAGCAAGAAGTTCCAATGATATGAACTTTGGAGGTCTATTGGATCATTTGCTGTCAGTAATAACCGTATGTTAGTCGTTGGTAATAACGAAATTCATATTAGATAGAATAGGATTTACATATTCATCCCGGGGAAGGAAAGCCGATATAACGGCTTCATCATATGGCGAACCACGGCTCTCGTCCGGTTAATCAGTTCATGTCTGTTGTGAGATTAGTATGGTGGCCCATCGTTGTCACGTGTAAAATTGAAAAAAAAAAATGAAAAAATAAAATGAAAAAGCGAAAATTAAAAAAATAGTTGTGAAAAAACATAAAAATAATTGAAAAAAAAGAAATAAAAAAAAAAAATTGAAAAGTAAAACAAACAAAAAAATTAAAATTAAAAAAAAAAATTAAAAAAAAAAAAAAAAAATATGAAAAAAATTGGATAAAAAGAAAATAAAAAGGTTGACAACGATGGTCCGCCTCGTGGCCCATCGTTGTCACGCGTTTTTATTTTTGGAAAATTTGATGCTGCTTGGGACCAACGTTGTCAGACTTAATCCTACACGCACAAATGTGTTTCCTGGGTTTCTAACTCACTACTGATTTTCATGAGCAATATCCAATAAATTCAACATGAAAATGTTCTACAAATTCTCCATGCTACAAGTTCAACCACAAGCAATATATTTATAATAAGGATAAGAGAATATAGAATTGGATACGAAAATTTGTTTTTACGTGTAGAAGGTAATTTAATTGGAAAATGCTGCTTAACTGCTCAGACACTCGTGCGATGCCGGTACGGTATCGTCTGACCGTACCGGTACCCATGCAATCACTCGTGAAAGAATGGGAGATGAGTGATTGTATGGCTACCGGTACGGTCAGACGCAAAGCGACTATAACCGACTACCGGTATTTGGTAAGACGGTACGGTACCGGCATCGCGAGTGTCCAGTCAACTGAGTAGTTAAGCAGCATTCTCCAATTAAATTACCTTATACACGTAAAAACAAATTTTCCGAATTTTCGTATTCAATTCTATATTCTCTTATCATTATTATAAATATATTACTTCTTGTTGAACTTGTAGCATGGAGAATTTATAGAACATTTTCATATTGAATATTGCTCAAGAAAATCAGTAGTGAGTTTGAAACCCAGGGAACACATTTGTGCGCGTAGGATTATGCCTGACAACGTTGGTCCCAAGCAGAAGCAAATTTTCTGAAAATAAAAACGCGTGACAACGATGGGCCACGAGGCGGACCATCGTTGTCAACCTTTTTATTTTCTTTTTATTCAATTTTTTTTTTTTAATTTTTTTTTTTTTTTTCCGTTTTTATTTATTTATTTATTTTTAATTTCAATTTTTTTTTTATTTTTTTTTTAATTATTTTTATGTTTTTTTACAAAAAAATTTTTATTATCGGTTTTTTATTTTATTTTTTATTTTTATTTTCAATTTTACGCGTGACAACGATGGGCCACCATAGATTAGTTAGCCAGTTATATGCTTTTTCAGATGCGTGGACTTGATGATAGAAGCATACCGGAACCGACCAGCAATTTTCGCACATAAATATCGGAGGTGCGATTGCGCGCGTATTCCTAACGCTTAGAACAAGTCAAGTTTTTTTTCAACCTCGATGCACAATGCGCCAAGATTTCATTGTTCAAGCAATCATACCACAACATTTGTTTCCGGATTAGGTATTTCAAGCATATTGGATTGTTCATATTGAAAGATTCCTATTGTATGCAACAGATGGAATGAACAGCTGCATTTCGTATTTTTTTTCTTCTTAAAATTTACAGATGAATCAGTGCTATTGCCATTTATTAAATTGCTCCTTGCTTGGTCAAGAAATAATACGATTAAGGCTGAGTATTTTGAATCGTATAGTACAGCGTTTCCCAAACTATAGGTCGCGACCCACTGGTGGGTCGTAAAGGGAATCCTAGGGGGTCGTGAAAAGATGTAGAAAGCTTTGATTAATTATACTGGTTATTAGGATCGGTGGCGTCTCAAATACGCAAATCTTCAAAAAAAAATTAAATTGAAATTCTAATCTGTGAAAGTTTCTTTCTACGATCTTCTCAAAGGAACAAAAATTTGCTACACAAAGTATAACCATGTGGCTTTTTTACGCATAGCAGTTTTGTACACTGTACAGCACTTCTTACCATGTTTCCCCGAAATTTAGACAGGATTTAGATTTATATTTTTTTGAAGAATAACACTATGGTTTTTTTTGGAAGAGGGTTTTTGTGTTCATTAATCAAAAACAAAATTACATTGCAGAAAATCACAAGATTTTTCACTAAACATTATATAAAAACCGACATCCATTGTTTTTTTTTTAAATTTCCTATACAAAAATTAAGTGACAAATAATTGTGATATCACACAATCTTGAATAGTGGTGTGATTTATCTCCTTCTCACACATTTTAAATTCATTTTAAGGGTAGGGTTTATTTAAAATCATTTTGAAAATTCAAATTATTATTCTATTTTTAGGCCAGGTCTTATTATCGAGGAAACACGGTAGTTTTGCGATGATTAGCCATTGCTGTGTTCTGTGTTATGTCATAAAAAAAATAGAAGTTGAAGTTAAGTGGGTCGCCATAAGCAGTGGTAATAAATAGTGGGTCCCAACTCTAAAAAGTACTTTAGACGAAAGTTTCGAATCCCCGTCATATTGTTTTTATCCGCCAAAGGTCGAGATGAATTCCTCATTTTTTATTGAAGCCCTACTTTAACAATGCAATTTTGACATACGACTTTTTTTGGTACAACCTGAACATAGTATGTGTACCAGGTTAGGGTTCAGGCTGTGCGCCATTTTAGTGCACATACTTCGGGAGCGCCCTTTTCCGGAGTGTTCGATGAGTTCAGTAATTAATGTGTCTGGAGGACACATTGCAATGAAAAAAATCACATTTGAATTACATAGTATCGAGAATCGAATCGATTCAAAAAATATGCGAATTGATTAGAAATCATCAAGTATTCAAAAATTTCCAGCACTAATCATAGGAGCATTTCGGCATGTAGAATTCTTAGATACATACATACAACAATTTTTCGTATCTTGAAGCGCATTTTAGAAATTTTCGACCTCACGCCCATTGAAATTTTACACAGCAATGTTTAATAATACGACTATTGAAGCATTTACATATGGCCATTGTTTTGATAATCAGGGACAGATGTGTATCTATTTGAATGGTTTACCAGCCAGCCGGCCAGCCAAGATGTTTTTAGCACGCGAACAATTACAATATGCTCATTCAATATGAGGCAAAAAAATAAAATTGGATATTTTATGAAACGCTATAAACCCTATAAATAAAGCTGAATTCAGCAGTTAATTATCACAGCACTTCAAACAGAATAAAATGGCGAAATCTCGGTTCCAAGTTTTGATAGTTTCGGTACTGGCTCTGATGATGACACCATCAATCCAAGGTAAGTTGTAACATTGCTTTTTGGGCGCTCCAGAAGTATATATGTGTACCAATATGGAGGTAACTAATTTTGTTTGCCTATTTTACATCGAGGTGTGTAAAGAGACAGAAGCCTATGGGCAGAGGGTATATTCACTTGGCTAACACAAACACAGAAAGTCACCGAACTTGTAATAGAACTAAAATAAAGAAAATAGGAATAAAATTATGGCCTAACCTGATATACATACTACGGGAGTACCAACCTTTGGGGTACAATTGTAGCCAAACAGAAGTTCAAGTGTTGAATAAATGATGTTTATTTTCGTAAATATCACCAAGGATTTTAGGAGTCTCTTTTGTGAAACGAAAGGAGGTTCTCTGTTTCTTCGAACAAAAATTTGAGTCGTTATGTCAATAATATTTTCAAAAAAACTTTCTATTCAGGAACACTTATTTTTTTTATAATTTGGTACTTCAATTGTCCATAAGACTTTTTAAATATCCAAATGTTTAATTACAGGAGCGTCTCCTTGTAAGGAGAACGGTATGGGCGACTGCTACATATGGCAAGAGGTTACTGATTGTATTAACGGCTACTTCGGTGCTGGTGTTGCGGCTGCTGCTTGCAATACCGCTGGTGCTCAATGCTGTCAATCATATGACAACGCAGGTAGGATTTTTAGAGATTTATTCCAAGGAAAGCTGATAATAGGCTTATTTATACGGAAAACTACAACTTCTCGCCCGGTTATTTGCTTTCGGAAGCAGTTGACAGTGAAGGAGTTGACAGTGAAGGAAGCTGGGATCTTTTGTTTAAAGCCCACTTCACAAAAACACCCCTGTCGCGGCTCTAAATAAGAAAACGAGAATATCGGTCGGAGACTTATCGATCGAAACTTCGGTTTCGATGTATGACTCTATAGTGACACCGCGTGTCCTATCACTAATTGATTAATAACTCGCTAATTATACGACATAATCCATCCAAAACCAATAGGCTTCTGGTCCGAGATATGATGAATGCACATGCAAAATTTGGAGAAGATTCAACCTCGTTTTCGTGAGATATCGCGTGCATCTAACAGACAAACACCTATCAACATACTTACCGATCAAGATCAATAAGTAATTAGTAATTTATCCAGTTAGTGCTTGGGTTAGGAATGCGAATTGCGATAGAAATTTAAATTTTAAAATCATCCCTGACCCCAACTCTAACTAGATAAATACTAATTTGTCATTACTTATCGATTTTAATCGGTAAGTATGTTGATAGGTATTTGTCTGTTAGACGCACTCGATATCTCACGAAAGCAAGGTTGAATCTACTCCAAATTTTGCATGTGCATTCATCATATCTCGGACCAGAAGCCTATTGGTTTTGGATGAATTATCTCGAGTGCGATGCAATCTGACATAATTAGCGAGTTATTAATTAATTAGTGATGGGAGACAAGGTGTCACTATGGAGTAAGAGCACTGTTTTGAGGATCCCTTAACTTTCGATCGATAAGTCTTCGGTCTCTGACCGATATTCTCGCTTTAAAACTTGGCGGGCGTGTTTTTCTCAAATCTCACATTTTTACATTAGTGGCGGGGCTTTGTACAAAAGATCTGAAAGCCGTAACAAATCACTCTAAGGCGGCGAGCAGTCCACCAATCCTCGCGCACATAATCACCTTCCCGGGGACTCGAACCAGCGAACCCACACGGGATAATGAGAGGTACGATTGTAATCGCATTCCTAGTAGGATAGGATAGGATTTACATATTTATCCCGTGAGAGAGGAAATCCGAGGAGCAGGTTTAATCATATTGCGAGCACCGGCTCTCGTCCTATTACCAGTCCATGTCGGGTATGGGATTAGTTAACCCGTTATTTGTTTTCGGAAGCATGGACTTGATGGTTGAAGAATCCGTAACCGACCAGCGCTTACGTGAACCACCCTACTGCAGCAAGGAGTCCAGCAATCCTCTTGCACATAACCAACCCCGCATGGGATTCGAACCCATGCAGGGTAATCAGAGGTGTGGTGGCGAGCGTATCCCTAACGCTTAGGCAATGCGCCACACCGCCGAGCCTAACGCCTGTGCGTCGCCAACCGCCACAACAAAATTTTTATTTTATGAATATCCTATATAATCATTTTATAACAAAAATCATATATTTTCATAAAAAAAAACAGATTTGCAACAACATCTGACGGACACAGCCAGCGCTGCTGACGGACTGTGTACTGCTGCTGGAGGAGGGTGTCGCCATTTTTCAAACTTCTGTGCCGGGGCCTACAACGGCAATCCCGCACATTGTGCTGGTTTTCCAGCGCGTCAATGTTGTGTGTAAGGTAAAGTTCATGATTTTTTGTAGGTATTTTCAGACCTCCAGAAGTATGTGCACCAAGATGGCGCACTACCTGAACATAGTCAGTGTACAAGGTTAGGGTTCAGGTTGTGCGCCATCTTGGTGCACATACTTCGGGAGCGGCTATTTTTTATTCCCGCCTCTCGCTCCGAATAATGCGCGTTTGAAGGGCGACTTATATACAAGAAACCACTATTTATGTTGAAACTGAAATTGTCTTGGCTCAGCATTGCCCGGCCCAGTATGTTCCCCAGCAAATTTATGGGATGGTAGATGTTTTGTTGTTAGTGATTAAACTATTTATAACTACTATCGTTTTGTTATTATGTTGTTCTTCGTCATAGCTTTTCTCTTTGATTACTGGACCAATCCGGTGAGCTGTATGGGATTCATTTTTTCGTCATCGGAACTTGCCACCATGGGGCGTTACGTGTCCATATATTTGAGCATATCTCTGTGTATTTAAATGTTCGTGTGCACTGGCATATGAGGTTTATTAACGTTAAAAATTATTAATTAACGTTTGAAATTTAGGACAGGGGTAAAGAAATCAATGCTGGCTAATTGTTACCCCATGGGTGGGCATTGGATTCCTTTGCTACAAAGCTTCATTTGTATCTTATTTTTCTTTTTTTCAGAAAACATGGTTTTGATCAGACAAAGAAATTTATGTATTCAGAAATATTGTAATCGGAAAAAATTTTGTTTCTCACTTTATTATATATTGTCATAATCTTCAACAGTTTGTAGTCTTTATGACTGTGGTTCCAAACATTTTTATGGCTTGTGGCTCCCTTCCGTAAGCTTTTAGCACCAATGGCCTCGTTAATCATTCCAGTGGTATTTGGAGTGTTATTATGATTGAAATACCCTTATCAAACAATGAATTGGTTTCTGCGGGACTAACTACTTATCCTTCTTCTATGCTTTTGTGCGGCGGATTCGTATGCATATAATCATGGTTGAACGATGTATGTCTGAAGAAGTCTGACCTCGGTCAGACGAAACGTTACAGAAATATATTTGTGTTAGTGTGCAGCAAGACTCTTGAATCACTCAAGCAATGAAACTAGGAAAAGGGTAGTTTTCTTATAACTGTAAATGTAAAAGCATCGTGGGCCTTCCAATCGCTCTGGGGCCACGGACCCCCGCTTCGGAACCGCTGCATTATGATATGTTGTAATTTATTTTTTAACAAAATCAAACGTATTTACTCAGAGCTGAAAAAGAATAAAAAATTATGTGCATGATATCTAGACATTCAGTGTTTATTCATTTTGATGTCAAATAAATTCGTGTGATAAAAGATGTTTAGTATTGTGTTTGTTGGAAAAAGCATTGGATGTGTTAAGTTGAAATTCTAAGAAGATTATCGCTAAATACACAAATAACCATTATAGTAATAACAAGAGAGCAATGCTGAGTTATATGGACGCGGAGTTGTATGGAAATAAAAAAGTAATAGTCTTCTAGCAAAAAGTACAATCTTTAACCACTGAAAATTTCAAAGCAATTGAGCCGTAGTTAATGGAAAAAGCGATTTTTTAAAAACGTTTCAAAGAACAAGAAGAGTGCCAGCATAAAATGCAAAACGATCGTTATGTCTACTAACATGTCCAATAATAAGAGAGCGATGCTGAGATATATAGACGCGGAGTTGTGTGGGAATAAAAAAAAAGTAGTCTTCTAGCAAAAAGTACAATCTTTAACCACTGAAAATTTCAAAGCAATTGAGTGGTAGTCCAGTAGTCAAAGAAAAAGGCGATTTTTTTCAAAACAATACGAAGAAAAAAAACAATAACAACAACAACATAACACCGAAACGATTCATGTGAAAAAAAGTGAGTCACACATACAAAACGATCTATATGTGTCCAATAATACTAGTAGTTGTACTAGAGCAAAATTCCTCGCTAAAGACAAAATTCCTCTCCGTTGTTACACGTTGGGTTAAAGCAGCTTTTGTCAAGCCGTGTTCCTCGGAATGCTGCTGTTCCGCAGTGATCGAAATTGCGACTAAATTTGTCGCCAGGGTAATCTCGACTGTACTTCTATGCCTCGGTCGCATATTTGTCTCCCAGCTGGCGACAGGCGCTCCGGAAGTATTCGTACAAAGATGACTCACAACCTGAATCCTAACCTGGTACAATAGTATATTCAGGTTGTGCGCCATCTTGGTAGAAATACTTTGGGAGCACCCAGAAGAGCCTCGTTATCTAAGCAGGCGGATAGGCCTCGTGCCAGCCTGGCGTTTTGTTTACCGTTCAGTATCGTTAACAGTCTGCCTAATTTTTTTTAATTGTCAAGTTTACTGCCACATTTTTAATCTCAACACAGGCTTATTTTTTTTGAAACGACTCTTCTTAAGGATTGTTTGAAATTGCCTCCAAATATGTCGTGATAAGTCGGTTGCGCAAGTTGATGCATAAAGTAAATCTATTACACAATTTTATTATAAATTTTACCTTCTACTTGCCTGGTGTTCCGCGAGGCGAGACAAAGGAGTAGGTGTTGTAGGTAACCAGAGGTGCGGTAGTGATGGTATTCCTAACGCTTAGTCGATGTGCCACACCGCCGAGCCAACAATGAACAAACTAAAATTTTTCTCAAGGTAAAATGAAGCATTACAGGCTACAGAAAACAGGAATCTTTGATTTTATTTAGGAACATTTGCAAAACTTTCTCATAATTTTACAACAATACAGCACAAAGGAGAGTTCATCGGCATAGAAGATATAACAGAGTGTGAAAATATCTTAAATTTGAAACACTTCCAACCGAGCATACACATAATCAAGTAATTACTAAATATAGAGACACCGTCCTATAGGGATTCTTTTCCCCACAAGAGAAAACACAAAAAATTCAACCCCAGAGAAAAATGATTTCAAAATTCCAAGACCTAGTCAAAAGACTAACTACCAGTGTTGGAGAGACATAACTCAGACGTCACACTCGCGAGACTTATAGAAAGCCTAAGATTTGAACCCAGAAATACTTGGACTTATACCAAACACTGCAAAAAAATGTTGGTTGTTGAAACTGTTAAATAATAAATGGTAATTATTGACCTTTTGAACTTAAAAAATAATAAATGAAACTTTTAAGGTTGCTTCCATAACAGAATTTGCTTCAGATTTTTTTGCTACATTTATGAAATGGTAAATGAAGGGAGCTGAAAAGATTTTTAGGAATGCTTTCGACAAAACAAATAACATATCACTTATATTCTATGTCACAATGGGAGATTTCTCAAGTAGGGCTTTCATATCTCTCCTTTAAACTATTTAAATTCTTAAACGATTGAAATTTTGGCAACTTTGCTTATTCCTGACAAGTGTGTTATAATTTTTCTTAACAAGATAAAATAAATTATCTAGTTAATGAATATTTTGTTGAGATGACATCGAATTTATATGCAAAAAATTGTCCAACTTTTCACATCAAATTATATAATAAGTTATTAGGTCTGATGGGGAATGGGGTTAGGAAAAAAGGCACCAGAAAAAAAAACAGTTGCTTCAATTTATAATCATTTTTTCACTTGAATATAAAAATCAAAAAACAGTTTATCCCCCAATTAAAGTAAGCACATAAAAGGCCGGTATTTCACAAAATAGGAAATTACCCAATGTAGCCTTATGTATACTAATAATAAAGACTCTAAATGAAAACATTTGCCCTAATCAAACCAGGCCTATCAAGTATCTTAAAAAATAATTCCGAATGATATTACATACATGCTGCTGTATATGCTCAAAAACACTCTTGCCGTGATATAGAATGTAAACTAATCTTTTATGTTTGAAATTAAATGTTTTTCTCAGTTGGAAGAAATTTGATTCGTTATTCATGCTTCAAAAAAGTGCTGCTTCATGTGACTGTATTATGTTCTACTGTTGCCTCTATTTTCAAGATCTTTAACCTGAAATAGACGAGAAAGATGTTAGGAGGGCTTAGCAAGGGTCTCGGACTTACATGGGTCAACTGCGACCCGCGGGTTAAATCCGACCCGTTGGGTAATTCAATCTGGCCCGCCTGATGCTGCCACAACCAAACTAAAACCATTACCTTCCAAGCAGCTAGAAAACTAATCTAAAATTCACATTAGATTTATTATCTAAGCAATTTTTGTTGTAATTAACAAGTAATCAGTAATCAGTAATTTATTTCTTCACCAAGCTGAAAGTACGAATTATACATACACAAATAAAGGAAATATAAAAGACCGCATTCCAGGGTGAAAAGAGACGCCGAAAACCAATTCTGGTTATCGAGCGGCGGCACCCTCGGGGAAGTCTAACAAAAACGTGATAAATATAATTAAATCGAACAAAATATATTACTTAATAAATAAATAAAGAAACGCAATCGATGCGTCAAGGCGACCCGGTAAAAACCAAGCAATCGCCGTTTAAAAATAAGAAAATCGACTCCATGCACCACAGTCTAGGTAACCATGGAAATTATTAACATAAAGTGAACTGCAAGAAGCTTCGAAGCATATAAAATAGTTTAATAACTGTATATCTATTTTTGGGCCACCCTGTATATATAAGTTTTTTTTAGAAAGGAGCACTCATGAGCCCCTGTTTATCAATCCGTTGTTATTTAAGGTTTTTATTTGATTGGTAGATTCCAAATTCCATTATGTTCAAACAATTCATGCCCAACAAAGTGTAAACACCCTGGGAAATAACCTTATCAAGCAGTGAAACTAGGAACGGGAAATTTTCTTGTAAACCAGGGGTCGGCAACCTTTTGTCGTTCGCGGGCCAAAATTAAAGGTTGTATGTTATTGGTGGGCCGCATATATTGTCAGAAAGTTGAAAACCGAATGGATGTTCCTTTTTGTATTAAAAATCAAGCAGTGATACGTGTCTCGAATACAATATAGATTTATTTCCTCATTGAATCTGATAAAATTCCATTTGAGTATTTTCAGCGCCGTTGAATCCTTTGCACTTAGCATCAACTTTTTTGTGTTTTGTTGCCATTTGTCTAATTATAATCTAATTATATGCTCATTAAACGAGTAATTGTGAATACTTGTTAGGTTATAATACAATTTAGTCTAAAGAATATAATCGTCAAAACGGCTGTTTTGTTACTATAATTCAGTGAAGTGTCGCGGGCCGGATTATAAAACTCCGCGGGCCGTAGGTTGCCGACCCCTGTCGTAAACAAATATGATCAAACAATAAATACTCAACAAAGTGTAAACACCCTGTGAAATAACCTTATCAAGCAATGAAACTAGGAAGAACAGGAAGTTTTCTTGAGAAGAGTAATGTTAAACAGTTCTGCATCTAGCATTGTGTGCCCCATCCAGTCCCTCCAGTCATATAGTAATTGAATATGCCAATGTTGAGTAGTCGATCAGCATTACCCAATGTAGTGTCTAAATAAGCATCAAAGTTACCTTATATATTCTGACAATCCAATGTTCTGTAGTATATGCTTCTTCTAAAACGTCAAGTTCAAAATCCTTGTTGCCAATCTCTGCATTTCTCACCCTGTCGTAACCAGTTGGTTTGCCTGAAATAAAATTTAGTTGCTATTGGAGATCAAAATTTCCACAAATAACTTAAGGATTAAGATAACAGACAACTGAAAAAACTTGCTTAAGTGAAGCAAAATTTTTGGGGTTAAAAAATTTTTTTTTCAAGTTGCGATAGAAGTTGAAGTTCATATAGAAAATCCGGAGTCAAAATTTACGCCAGAAACTAAGAAAGTATTTAATTTATTAGGCATGCTCAAAAGACAATTTAAGAAAGTTTGGCTCGAGGGGCTGGCAGCCGAAGGAGACAGAATTTAACATTTGAGTCCGAGGTCGCTTATAAAATGCCCAAAGTCAGGAGAAATTTCCCCACATCACTGCTAGGAAAACGCTTGCATTGTGTTGTGTAGTTTCATAGGTTTAATTTCTGTAGGATAATTCTGTACTTAAGGATTGCTCGCTGCTATTCACTGAGTGGTTCACTAATTGCTAGTTTCCTTCCACTAGCCAAAATAGCTTAATCATATAGAAAACCACAGCGACTCGTCTAGTTACCAGTCCATATTGGACCAGTCCTTGGTTTTCATTAGAGATGTATCGGTACCGACAATATCAGCCAGTTTTCGGTAACGGCAGTGTATCGGTATCGGCTAAATTTAGACCAATATTTCCGGTATATTTAACTTCTCAATGTGATACAGAATGTTTTAAAAAATAGGTTGGAAATAGAATACTGAAATTATTTTTTTATTTTTATTTTTTGCTTGGATTGATTGTAACTATGGGCCTTGCACAACAGTAGACAATTCCTATTAGTATTCTAATTGAACATCGAGACCACTAGCGCCAGTGCTCAATGCATCTGATTCAATGGAAGCATTTGAATACCAAACATCTACTTATATTATGTGTGTGTGTGTGTGATATTTCTTTTTTCCGATCCGAAACAATGTGCACTATTAATAATGCTCAAAGATTTGTTTTAAATTGTCTGTCCTGCACACTTGAGGTAATATTTACATAGTACCAGAATATCGGTCGTTTCGAATATCGGTATCGATATCGGCCTTTTTAACAGATATCAGATCGGTATCGGCGACAAAAGTGGTATCGGTACATCTATAGTTTTCATATGAACGACATGATAAAAATGCTATAGTTTCGATTTCCTCTCTCTACCCTTATAAATGAGAAAGTAACAAACTCACTCTGCTCTGTATAGACTTGTCCAAATCTGTAATAACACATCTTGTACATCAAGCAGTTGAGGAGAGTAGGAGATCCTTCAGAATCAACACGGAATTCACCTGTGGAGAACAAAATATAAGTTTTAGTAGGGAGGGGGAAGCACCTAGCTCTGAACAAGGCCCTGTAGAAGCTACTACTAATATCTAATGATATCTATGAGGTTACTATTAACTGGGGCAGTTGAACGGGTACTCCCGTAGTATGTGTACCAGGTTAGGGTTAGGCCATAATTTTATTCAGATTTTCCTTATTTTAGTTCTATTATGGGTTCGGGCACTATCTTTGTTAGTCAAGTGAATATACCCTATGCACATGGGCAGTGTTCACTATTAGCGCACTTTTTTGCGAAAATTGCGAAACACTTTCGCAACTTTTTTTAGGGACTGCGAAATAGCACTTTTTTCCGATTTTGAAGAGGAATAGCACTTTTTTCCGATTTTGAATGGAATAAAAATTCAAAGTTAACAAATATTTTCGAGTATTGAGTTGACAAATAAGTAACATACTGGTACTTTTGTAACTCAATTCTGCATATCATAACGATATTTACCGGAATTCTAACCTATGAGATGCAGACATAGGAGATAAAGCTTTTGCATTAACGGCAAAATTCTTGTTTATAATATGATTATTATACAAGCACACGGATTCCGCTTCTCCTGCAAAAAACGCTCCCGGGGCGTTTCTTTGAACGAGAGTGGTCATGTGACTATCAATGATATCGATGAATTCAAAATGACTATAAAAAGTGTTAGTAACGTGTTATAGTCACTTTGGATGAATTGTGACCAAACTGCACGATTTTCAAATCAGACGAAACTTTTAGCAGCATGTCACAGATTTGCAAAATCAACAAATTCACAAAATACCATTAAATGCCATTTTATTGTAATCACAATGTTCAAAGGACGTGGCATTTTCCGGATTTTTGCGATATTTACACAACTATTTCTCATTGATATGCGAGGAGGGGTGGGCAAAATTCAATATTTTTTTAAATCGAATATTTTTAAGGAGTACCGAATAAACGTGGTGGAAACATTAAAAAATCGGCAACAAAGCCTTTTTACTGGTTAATTCCGTTGTAATCGCTAATTGTTCTTGTCACCGATCGTTTTGGCGGCGATATCCAGGTTTTGGGTAATCTATATTCCCGCCCTCTCTTTTTTACAAATATGAATTCTTGTGGGTCGGCGGACATCGAAGTTTTATATTTCGGGTTTACCCGTTCGTTCACATCGGCAACAGCTGTTGAAGACATTGAGGACTCAAATTAACATTTGCGCTGGCTTTAATATTACCTATCAAGATTTGTAAATTTACCGTCCCAATTTTATGCGAATGGTAATATTATTGTCCATACCGTGATGCAGATATTTATTAAGACGATAATTAACTTTCTCATGTATTTCTATGGTGATAAACTTCGCAAATCTGAAATTGTGCCAATCCTGAATGTTGATTTGAAATAGTGATTGAATAATTCGGCTATAAAGGCATTTCTGCGTGGTCATAAGACGAGATGACGTTAATGAACAGCACTTCTTTTACAGGATATTTCACGTATGCGACTTATTGCTAAAAAGATTGGGCTCGAGTGCTTTTTTTTCGAGTGCTCGAGTGCCTAATAGAGGTCAGGCTCTAATTGTAACTAATTCCCTCAAGTTTCAACGTGTTTTCAACAAAACAATACCCCGGCGATAATTATAGCTAAAATGTTACCGAGCAATTCACAATTTTATTTATGGAATTTGCAAATTCACCAGTTTCTTGACGATTTTGATATTGCCACGCCCTAATTATTAGTGCAAAAAAATACTCCCCTTCTTCCGCGGCGGTTTGACGGGTTCTTTGTTCCATTCTTCAGAAAGTTCTAACACGGGGGATATAGAATACTGAATCCGGAGGGTTGAATCCCTGTCTACTTACTGGTGATTTTCCGTTTTGAAATGCGTGAAACATTCTCTATTTTAAATTAAATGACGTTTCGCGGGCTAGAGTTCTCCCCGAAAATGATGTGTTCCAGACGTTAGTTAGACGATAGATGATAAAACATTAAATTAAAAATTTTCGTGACGCCCCGTTTTCGAAAATACAAAGTTATATCTCAAAAAAATGCGTTATAATACATTTGGAATGAAACTTGGAATTATTTACGGTGAATTCAGATCACATTTTACTCTCCATGACACCCGGTATCCGAAAATACAGTTGTATCTCGAAAAATGTGTTTTGTTACATTTAAAATAAAACATTTTTGCAATTAATTTAGATCAAATTTTACCTTTCACGGCAACCCGTTTCCGAAAATACAAAGTTATATCACAAAAAATGCGTTTTGTTACATTTATTTTGCATTCCCAATAAAATACATATTTTCCCTAATTAAGGTCGTCGATGAATCTGTTCCTGTCGTTCAAGCTCGACACACGTTTGGACGAGTGTGGGGCGGTTTTTTGATCGACGATAAATTAAAAAGTTGCCACGCGTTATTTGTATAACCATAATAACTGAAAATTAAAATTTTATAATAGAAGTGAATTTGTCTCAAGATGGTATTTTACGATTCTTGCCCACAGAAAATAAACACGCTGACAGGCTTGGTTATAATTGATATTCGTTTAATTTATTTTCCACTATTAATAACCGCGCCACACCAATTGCGACCATATAAATTGCAGTCGCATCGGTATGGACTGTATGTTTTTGGCGCTCTCAAATTAATAATAATTTTCAACAAAACAATACCCCGACGGTCATTAAAGCTGAATTCGTTACCGAATAATTCGCAATTTTATTTACGGAATTTGCAATTTCAAGATCTCACTTGACGATTTTGATGATGTCATGCCCTAATTATTACTGCTTAAAAATGCCTCAAAATACAACAAATGTAATCATTTTCGACGATAACAGGCGCAACAATTCGTAAACGAGCAGTTATAACGAAATTCGCGATTGATTTTACCTCTCTCTTGTTTACAATTTTAACATCCCGCCGGCCATGTATGGTCGAATAAAATGTTCACATATTCGAAACATGACTTGGCCAAGGATGGAAGGGATCACTAAAGAGCTAATAGAAAGTACATACGCGAGGGTATGATATTAATATTGAGAATATTTGTGAGCATATCACAGGACGGAAATATTTTGCACCCGGCTGTTTGTTGGCAGAACAACGATACGCTAAAGTTAATTGATCGAATACAGGGAAGTATTCATTTATCATCTCACTTGCGAACATCGAGGTTTTGGCGCAATTGTACGATCATGTTGTCTTTCTTAAATAATAACTTTTTCAATAAATGTTCATTTTACTTTTGCCTCCTTATTATATATATGTCTGGTTTTCATTTATTTTAAATTCGAAATTGTCCGAAATACTTCAACAGGTGCATAGGTACAATAATAATAGTACTTACCAAAGTACCTACCAGGGAAGTTTAATACACACGATGTGTAAAGGGCGTCGTAACTCCCGTTTATTAATTATAAATTTTTTTACATTCTGCTTAAAAAACAACGGCAGTCATCTCACGTAACTCTCGCTACCAAATCTTTTTTGTTTTGTATGGCATCGTCTTGGCGACAAATTTATTGCCGACTGAATTTTAATTGTGTTTTAGGTTAGTTATTTTCTGTTTGTTGGTTTCTAAACTTTACAAACTTGGGTAGCAATTACTATTAATGTGAGATTTGTGCATATGAACGATTGAATATCGCGACTGGATGTCCGATATCTGAGAATGCGTAATTCTCTTTCAACATTAATTTTCAGGATATCAGCGTTCATGTGGTCGAATAAAAATTATTTATCAAATGGATTGGTATTTCGAGACACTCTCAAAATTATTTGGGATCCATTTTCATATCATTCGTTTATTTTTTATATTCATGTTTTTCTCAAGAATCACCCTCGTTATATTTAGTGTACCTTCGCAAAGTAAACTCTTTGATGTCATTGTTCCTATTAGTGTAATTGAAATATATGGAAACCTCGCAAGTGGCGTTGTGATGCGAATATTTGATACTAGGTCAGCAGCATTACAAAGAGTGCTATTTATGAATGCTGAAAGTACATGACATTACTAAACATTTTGCCAATATATGATGTTTTCTGCCCGATTCAAACTAACTCGCACGCAAACCAAGGCATGTGGACATTTAAAAATTACTTGTCTTTGGGTAAGCTCTGAAATAGTATAATATAAATGTAAATGAGAAATTAGGTCACGCTAGCTCACGAAACGGGAGGATTTTCAAAGTGATCTTGTGTAATATTTCGGAGAAAAAAGTTTGAAAGGAAAGTAGGTCAACCTATCTCCTAAAACAGGGGAGTATCCTGCATAATATTTCGGAGGGAAGGTAGGTTAACCTATCTTTTAAAACAGCGGGTGGCGACTTTCAAAGTGGTTCAAAATCACAAATTAATAATTATCAGATTAGGTTTAGGGATGAATCGAAAAGTTGAATTTCCAGCGCACCTAACCCTAATTAGTTGATTGCTATTTATATTTGGGGGGGGGGGTTATTTTGCACCGGATTTGTACAAACGATCCACCCTGTAACTAATATGGTTTCCAGCCGGCCTCGTGTCTGTTAGATGGAAGGAGTAACAAATGTGAAAGTCTTTGCTGTTTACGCGAGTAAGCAACTGACACCGTGATACATTGCATGAAAGTTTTGTCCGCGGCAGGTGTTAGCAGATGTCATTTCGTTGCCGATGAATTCGCTTGTTTTAATTAAACATGAATTCGCTTGAAGGGAACTCGGTTAACGAAAAGGCTTCTCTTTGAATCATAATATTAACCGGAGGAGCGCTTTTTCGAGTATCTATGCAGTTTTAAATGGGTTATATGAAAGGCTAGGGCACCTAACTTGTTAAAATCGGCAAAAGCACTTTCGCACTTTTTTTTTGGACTGCGAAGCACTTTCGCACTCATAATTTGCTTAGAGTTAACACTGCACATGGGTTTCGGTCCCTTTACAAAATTTGATGTAAAATAGGCGAACAAAATTAGTTACCCCCATATTGGTACGTACACTACCAGGCGACCTTATACCTCACCCAGGGTGGTATAAAAAATATGGTAGAAATGCTGAGGATTTCAGTAATTCTCACATTTCAGTGGTGCTTGCACAAAGCAAAGATATCCTCAAAAAAGTTACAAATGCCTTTTAAGATCGCAATAGTAACCTCGCTTTTTGAAAGACGTGCTAGAGAAGAAATTAATTAGGAGAGTTCAAGTACATACCTGTAGGGGTGTAGTAATCAGATTCCTTTATGTGAGCCCCACGATCTGTTGAACCCCCAATACGAACCATCCACAAGAATTTATTGATATCTGTAACAAAATAAAAAAAAAAATTCTATATTCTCTTGTATATTGTGACTACTATTCAGTATGGACGTACTGAATAGTACGCCAGCGACCATGCGTGCAACACACAGATCAGAGCGTCGAGCCTAAATATACGTAAAAATGAACCACAGGGGGGGTAGTAGAATGGTGATGCCTAAAAGTTCATCGACTTTGAAACTTTTCAAGAAAATGAAAACCTCTTCCTACAAGACAGGATTCCTCATACTCTCTTGTTTCTCTGGAGCCATGAGCAATGTTTTTTACTAGATACCATTTGCCATCACATTCCTTCAAAGTAAATTTACGCTAATGTGTCTTAATTTTTTGGCTGTGATGTGTTAGCTCTTTTGCTTTTGCTTTCATTTGCTAATTTATTTGTAAACATATCATATAAACCAGGGATCGGAAAATTACAGTCAGTCCATCGAAGTATTTTATCTGACCCACTTGTGTCTGTTGAGATCATAACTATAGTTTTTATGAGAATGACTCCCATTGTTACATTGTGCTTCTTGTTATAATAAAACGCTAGCCTAGCTTCTGGACTAGCTTTAGTAAATAAACTGTCCCAATGGAAAACCATTAATCTTGCGAGGACCTGAACAAATGAATTCAAGTACCGTATATACTCGCAGATAGGTCACGCCACCGTATAGGTCGCACTATTAGTTTTGTGTTAAAAAAGTTCAACTTAGAGTTGACTTGCACATAAGTCGCACTGAAATTCTAGGGATTTAAAAGACCCCCTAGCTTTCTTGCATAGATAACTTCCTATTTTTTTTTTGTAGAACGTAATATAATCAAAATATGTCTATCGACACCTGTGAGCGATAATAAATGCATGTACGTAAACGTACTTTCAATTTTGTTCCGATTTGGTGGCGTTTACACTTATGTCGAGCGGATTGGTTGCACCTATATTTTGTTTTTTAAATATAAGGAAAAAATTGCGATCTATCTGCGAGTACATATGGTAGTTCAACATCGGCAAAGGAGAAATTTCACTTATGCAATCAAGTTAACAGTCGTCTTGTTATATCAAACGCAATATTCGGGCCGAAAAATTGTGATAACCATGACAAATGCCTTTATCTTCATTTTATAATATTTATTAAATTATGGAAGAATCAATTAACAAGAATCAATCATTTCTGGTCAGCACAAGAACATACATCAGCTGGTATCAGACGGCACTTCCAGTTGTCATCATCCCAGAAGTTTTTGCATCACACGACGGATAAAAATATGATAATTACTTATCTATTTTGATCGGTAAGTATGTTGTTAGGTATTTGTCTGTCTATCTGTTAGATACAGATATCTCAGGAAAGCGAGGTTAAACCTGCTCCAAATTTTGCATGTGCATTCATCATATCTCAGACCAGATAGGTATTGATCTTTGATGAATTATGTCGTATAATTAGCGAGTTATAGATTAATTAGTGATGGAGAATTTTATATTTTTGCAAATCAGAGGATAATTTTTGCAAAGCGAGAGATTTTTGAGACACGCTGAGTGTGCGATGCGCAAGTCATACGCCGCTAGATCGAATCTCGTGATTACTCTTTTTAAGCAATGTCTATATCCCTCTTGACACTTTGACATCGTCTGCGCCGGGATTGAAATGCACGCCGCTAGATTGATAAGTCGGCGATGTCTGATCGCAATCTCGTTTTTGTAATTATTCAGATAGGCTTAATCGAAAACTGATTGGTCAAATGATGTCATTTTTTTATATCGAGTTTTATATCGAGACCAAGTCTATTATCTGTAACTGGCCCATTCAGGAAAGTAATTGCCCGTCCCTGATATAAACTCATGGAAATTAAATACAAGAGCAGGAGGGCCATGAGTGTCAAGTTTTTTGGAAAAATGGGGCATAAAGTTCAAGAATGACTGCTATACGAGACCAAACAAGACTTACCATCAGAAGAGTATCCAGTCAATCCACCAAATATAACCAGCACGTAATTCACATCCAACTCTCTCATGATTTCATAGGCATGTTCCTCTGTGGATGCCATAGCCTGAAAAAATGTTTTTTAATAAATAATCAAACTTAGATCACAATTTGTAATTAAGGAAGTCCATATCTCAAATTTAATATTCGAATCAATCCAAAACAAATTACATTTGGTATTTTATATTCTTGTCACAGGGATGGCCAATACCGAATAGTTCACTATTTCGAATACATTCGAAATTATTTTTTTCGAATATGAAATTTCGAATACTTCGAAAATAAAATCCACTAATTGAAGCTTATCTAAATGTATGTAGGAATTTCCATACAATAAGCAATGGAGTAACTGCTATCTACAAGTTACAACCTAGCTATATTACCAGGCATTTCATATTTGCAGATTATTGCAGTATATATTTTATATACCATGAGTCATGTTAACAGAATTAAATTAATATGACAATAGTGGTATCGATGATGGATTTGAATATTTGCGCAACACAAAATCATCCTAGTAAAACGGCCATACTTTTAAATACCAACCATTATCCAAATTATTTGTCGAAAAGCGGGATAAAGTATGAGGTATTTTTCCGACTTGTGACAATTTTTTCGTGAGTACAAAAATACGAATCAAAAATTAATTATATTTGGGAACTTTACCACACATTTTAAGTCCGCAGATCGCCGTTGTATGTTTGAGTAATAATACTTTTATTATTTCATAAATATGAAAATAGGAATCAAAAACTATTTATAATCGGGTAGTTTACCACACATTGTAAGTCCACAGATCGCCGTTGTATTTTGTAAATACGAATCAAAAATTAATATTAATCGCGAGTTTGCCACACAATTTATGTCCACAGATTGCCGTGATATTGTGCCGAATATAATTAGTTTTGATTCTTATTTTCGTACTCACGAAAAATTGTCACAAGTCGGAAAAAGAATTTATATTTTATCCCGCTCTTGGGAACTAATTTGTATAATGGTTGCCATTGGTTTGTATTTAAAAGTATGGACTTTTTACTAGGATGATTTTGTGCTGCGCAAAATATTCGAATCCATGACCGATACCACTACTTAAAATGCCTTACCGTGTTAATTTAATTCTATTATCATAACTCAAATGTTGGTAAATCGGGCAGTTTACCACACATTTGAAGGCCACGGATCGCCGTTGCATTTTAGAATTATTAGTTTTATTATTTTGTAAACACAAATCCGAAATTAGTTATAATTGGGCAGTTTACCACGTATTTCATGTCCACAAATACCCGTTGTATTTGGCCTTAATACTTTCATTATTTTATCAATATGAAAATAGGAATCAGTATTTAATAATATCGGTCAGTTTACTACACATTTTATGTCCACAGATTGTCGATACAACCATGAGTTACGTCGAACAGAATTAAATTAATACGGCATGACATTTTAAATGCTGGTACCAGTCATGGATTGGATTATTTTGCGCAACAAAAAATCATCCTGGAAAGGATCGATACTTTTAACTATCGGTATCAGAATTATTTGCCTAAAATTATTTTCTAATAAATTTTTCTTTTTCCAACATGTGACAATTTATTGGATATCGTAACAATTACGGCTATAAATACCGTATTTCCCGGCTAATAAGTCCACATGGCAAATAGGACGATGTCTATTTTTAGCACTCAAGAAAGGGGTTTTTCCATATAGGCCTCCCAATAAGACGGGTAGAAAAATTCGCTAATAATTTTATATGTTTAGAACCAGATCATGTTAGTTTGGTAGAATCATACTCACAGAATTAACTATTTTTAAAAGCGGCAATCATTTTGGACAACCTATTAACCCGAATGTTGAAATAATTTTGGAATGTGATAAGTACTACACTGTACGTCCACGGGTTATTTCACAGCTGTGTTTTCCTGTCCCTGTCGTGTTTTGCTGAATCGGCAAAACGAAAGGGTCACAAATTACTTTATCTTGGTGGCGGTGTTTCTCTTTAAAGTAAGGATAACCAGCCTGCGATTAAATATCATGATTGGCAGACCCTAAGACCCAAATATAAGGTTACACAAATCATGCTTGAGAAGACTCATGCGAATAATAAGCAGGCCACATAGAAATAAAAGAAACATACTTTCTCAATTTTTCGACGTAATGGAAATTAAAAGCCTCGTACACGAATGTCGGCAATGTCCACCCACGCAAACGTGCAAATGTGTCGCAACACTATGCGACGTACGGTCGCACAGAATATAAACAATCAAAGTGCCGATTTAAAAAGTCGTTTAAAGATTCCCGTAAAACGAAACACCACGTTTACGGCGAAAAGTGGCTACTATTCGGAATTATTCGAAAATCAGCCGAAAAGGTATTCGAATACCTTGATATTCGAATATTCGATTCGTTTTGGACAACCCTGATTCTTGATTTTGGGAATAATTAAGGGTAGCATCAATGGCGCACCAGAAGTATGTGTACCAATATGGAGGTAACTAATTTTGTTCGCCTACTTTATATCAAGTTGTGTAAAGAGACTGAAACCTATGGGCAGGGGGGGGGATATTTACTTGTCTAACATAGACAGCCCAAATCTCTATTTATCTCAACTTGTCAAATATATATGAACTTCTAAGTGTTTTTGTTGACCTTTTAGAACAGAGCCCTTCTCAGAGCAGAAGAATGGCCAGGAATTTTCTGAGGAGAAGTTCTGAAATTTTCAATTGCAGAGTTAGACTGTATGAACTAGCATGTGTTTTCAAGAGTTTTGGGGTCTAAAATGCGTTTCAAGCAACGAAAACTTGCCATGAAAATACGGGAAAATGATTTTGTGTGTTTTTTGCATGTTTTTTGACAGTCTTCTCATGTTTTGGCATGTTTTGTGGAGTCAATGCTACATACCTGTCCTACTCTTGATATATGTGTGTTATTCCATGTGTTATTATCAACAAGAATTGTCCGGTTCGCCATCGCTGTTATCTGGTATCCATAATCCCACCATGACATCACTTTTGCATCCTGAATAGGAAAAAATTATTTCTAGTTTAGCGGATTTGCTCATAGAAAGGCCTCGAACACTGAATTATTAACAGGTGAAGGAGACTCCTCTCTTATCTTCACATGACTGAATGCTCCATGCATAGTTTTTGTGTGTGATGGATTTACTGACAGTGAATGAGTGAGAGCTCACAGCCAATCGAGTTCAATGACTAGAAACCTTTTTTTTAAACTCCAGAAGTGTGTGTACCATATGAGAGCAACTAATTTGTTAGCGTATTTTATATCAAGTTGTGTAAAGGGAGTGAAACGTATGGACAGGGGGTATATTCAGTTGACTACCACAGACAGTCTCGAAATCGTAATAGAACTAAAATAAGAAATAAATTATGGCCTAACCCTAACCTGGTACACATACTGAAGAAGTACCATTTTGTCTACCAGCTCAAGGCTATACAAATGTCTGTGCTTGGTTACAATTTACCACTGTCACGGGAAAAACTAGTAAAACAATAAGAATATGATATTGCCTCAGCAAATAGAGCACCTAGTGTCAACACGATTTGTTCTAGTCCGCTGAATTATTTGTCATCATAGGCAACGAGAAGGCAATTTCATTCCAATTCAAGTCTATACCATTTAAGCTACCATTTATGGTTAATCTAGAATAACCACTACTCAGAACAATTTCTTCAAAGCTAAGGGCATAACTCTATTTCCCATTTTATACCGTGAAAATGATAGAATTCTTATATTTAGGAGAGAAAACAATAATCTTTACTGCGCCACTCCCTCTTGCCAGGGATGCATATTCTGTCAGAGTCAGGGGTTCGAGTCAGAATCCCATACTTACAATAGTTATTAAAAGAAGTCAAAAATCGTTTTTGGAGAAACTCAAAACGCATTAAGTTTGCTAAGTGTTCTCGGAGCTACCGAAGTATTCACACCGAGATGGCCCACAACCTAACATAGTATGGGTTACAAACCAGGTTAGGGTTTGGGATGTGCGCCATACTGGTGCACATACTTCGAGAGCGCCAAGTTTCCATATCAAGAATATATTTTCTTGGGGTTCGGAGGTAGCAGACATAATTTATCTGAACACAGAAAATTTAGCAACCTCGCCAATTTTTTTCGAACAGGTTTGAGCAGGGGTTCCATGTAAAGCTTTGTCCATTGCTTGCAACAACATCTCAAAATCATTCAAAATCAAAACAAAATATCAAAATCTTATCCTACCTCAGGAGTGTTATGTCTCAGCCAGTAATAAGCTTCTCGGAAGTCATCAAATATCACACGACCCCCGTCATGACCTTTTGCAGAAAGTACAATAGACGGGGAAGAGTAGGCTTCAGATGTCACCCACACCGAGTGCAATGCGTACATTGATAGGAATAATGTCATCATGAAGACTACGCCAGTTGCAATCTGAGAAAGAAAATTGAATAAGAGTTATTTTCATGTGTTTTTCACTCTGAACAAGGCCCTGTACAAGCAGCCACTGCCTTTATAAGGAACCACATTTTGTAAGGACCAGAATATTCCGCTTTGACTATAATAGAAGTGTTTCTGTTCATCATAATTCAGATTAGGGAACCTTTGTAAACACACATCGCCACCAGTGCAATCTGTCTTACTAGCTCTCATCCTACCTGAATAATTACTAATTTTGGTGCTCCCGAAGTATGCGAATCAAGATGGTGGACATCGGAACGTAACATGGGTAACAGGTTAGGGTTAGGCGATAATTTCTTTCCAATTTTCCTTATTTTAGTCCTATTATCAGTTCGAAAACTAGCCAAGAGCCTCCCGTAGTATTTATACCTAAAATTATGGCCTAACCCTAACCTAGTACAAATATTACATTCCGATGTCCACCATCTTGGTTCGCATACTTCGGGAGCCCCCTAATTTTTTTATTTTGTGCAGTGGCAGGAGTGTTTTTTGGCGGGGGCTTTGAATATACGATCAGATTCAGTTTGTCTCAGGTTATGCAGGTGCAACAGGTGGCCATGCGGCATAACCCCGGCCATCCCTGGGGTATACAATTTATCGCTGCAAACAAAACTTGGCACACACATACTTTGGAAGGGCCTTACAGTTTAGCATAAGCCAGTGAGGTGGTTGTGAGAATGGTATTTGGATTTTCGAGCAAATTCTAATTCAATTTACAAAGTTAACACTATTCATTCAACACTTTAACCAATAGTACATTGTATCCACAATTCACAGATTCACTCCAAACAACGCACTAGGCATGCAGCAAATAATTAATTCGTGAAACCACAGGAGCCGCAGTTTAAAAAGTTCGAGAGCTTTAGAGCATATGAATGAATCATGACAAAAATCCTACATCGTCAAAAACAATTATTTTTTTCAAGAGTAAAACTACGATACCTAAATACCTTGTATACGGATTAAAACAAGGAATCAAATCAATAAAAATTCAACCTCATTCTTGATAGGATAAGTAGAATCTGGCTTCTTAGCTTTCTTCTCCTTTGCTTGCACAGAATCAAGATTTTTCATGTAGGCACATAAAATATGATTGGCTCCAATACCAGCAAGAATACACATCACTGGTGCCAGAACTAACATAAGACGAACCTGTGAATATATAGAGGTTTTTGTTGAAAAATTGATTCCAATACTGTGGAGCAGAGGACTGAGACTAGGTTGGATTTGGAATACTTTGATGCAGTGGTTCTCAACCTGGGGGGTGGGGCGCACCCCTCGAAGGGGGCGTAGACAATTTTTTGAGGGGCGTGGATCCAATTAAAAATAAAACGGGGCTCCCGAAGTATGCGAACCAAGATGGCGGACATCGGAATGTAATATGTGTACTAGGTTAGGGTTAGGCCATAATTTTAGGTATAAATACTACGGGAGGCTCTTGGCTAGTCTTCGAACTGATAATAGGACTAAAATAGGGAAAATTGGAAAAAATTATCGCCTAACCCTAACCTGTTACCCATGTTACGTTTCGATGTCCGCCATCTTGGTTCGCATACTTCGGGACCAATAAATAAATAAAATCAATAAAATATTTAATACCAATAAAAATATTTGTTAGATTTGATCTTGCCAGCCTTTGGATATTGGATATTTGCATTTCATAACTTTTTATTTATTTCATTATTTAGGTTCCATCCTTGTATTTTCAACGTGTTATTTATAAGGCGCAGCTTAATAAGTTTGGGAACTACTGTTTTAGATCATTGATCAATTTTTCATCTTGCCTGATGGTGTGGCTATCAACTTACAAAAATGCCGCAAAATTTGAGGGGGAATATTGCACTTTCTATATTTGAGTATTGATAATTTTGAATGCCACATTAGTCGCAATGCACAGCAATTTAGCAAAGTAATCCATAGGTACACACTCAGTGACTTATAAGGATTTTAGGAAAAAATTTAAACCAGTTGAGAACAGACAGAAATTCATTTCGATTTGATGGATTATTCTGCCCAGATACACTTGAGCGTAAGAAATACATACCATGACAGCAGCAAAGTACATGCTTGTTATTCCATACATGATGATGAAAATATTGTGATCTGTCAATTTCTTGAAGCAAACGTACAATCCAACTGCAATAAACAAATTATAGTCAAGGCTCATAAGGTCTGCTTAGCATTGAGCAAATGAATAATTGCCTTAATTAGTATGGAAAAATGGATGAGCTAAAGCAGAGGTATTCAACCTTTGGCCCGCGGGGCAAATGCAGACCACTAGAAAAAATTGTGCAGTCGCATATCATTAGATTAATAACCAAAATATTTGTATGTGTAACTACTAGAAAGCCTTAGTTAATGGTGCCGTGGTTTCACCCATTTATTTGTTCTGCCCCCCTGGAATAAAGGTTGCACATCCCTAAGCTGAGGGATATCAGTGTAGAGTTCTGAAACAAGTATTTTGAGCATGCTGAGAGTTGTAATACACATTTTGCCCTCTACATACCATACCACCGATGGTCACATGAACTATTGCTATATAATTTGAACCTTAAAGCATTATCAAGCATAAGTATACTAATATATAGGACAATAAACCAACTATAGACACCAAATTACTTAGCAGATAAGTCAGTTTGGGCAGAGAAATATTTATGAGGTAAATCATTCCAGAAGCATGAACTTGAATGGTAAAAGAAGTCAGTCATTAATACCTTCTGCAGTACCCACAATGAAATCCAAGCCTGCATCCTCTCCAGCAGAGTATTCAAGCAAGCATACCCTAACACTTACAATAAACAAACTATAGATACACACCAACAGCTGAAGTTAGTTTGGACATAGGAATACTTTGCAGAATAAGTCAAACAGAATATAGCCAAGTGGTCATGGACAATCCTGCCAGAAGACAATTATAATCTAAAAAGCTTCTCCCAACCCCAAGGCTTTCGACTACAAGCCAGACAAACACTAAATAACTTACCGGGGAAGAAAAATACCAGCAATTGTAAATCAAAGTAGAAGGAAGACCAGGCTGTCGGTTGATGTTCAGAGACTGATGCAATGATTGGAATATTATTCTTCGCGTAACTTGGATCCAGGAGGGAGTAGAACCTGCCGGTCCAGGGAGCAACTTTGCCTGGAATAGAAAAGAATAAAAAATTAATTAGTATGTCGTACCAGTGACACAGTCAGAATTTTTTTAACGGGGGGGCTAACAGGGGGTGTTACGATAAAATTAAAACAGTGCCACAAAAATGCAATTCACAACACCGCAAGGGTGTTTAAAAAACTAAAAATTGTGTGTACAGCAAGATTCCTTATTATAGCTTGCCTCCCCTTGCCAGACATTGTTTGACAAATATGACTTATTTCAAACATCTACTAATCGTCAACAATTAATCCGTGGAATAGTCGATATTAACCATGTCGCGTTGTTCGCTGTTCATCCTTTTCACAAATGAGCTAGCTATTTTTCGAAGAGAAATAAACGTAACCGCACTCCCGCGAATCTTATAAGCCCAGTGAAAATTTTAGGACTTTATGGACATCATGAACATTCTAAAGAAAATAAAGTTAACAAACCTGCCAATGTCAAGAAAGCAACAATGCCAGATGGACATCATGAACATTCTAAAGAAAATAAAGTTAACAAACCTGCCAATGTCAAGAAAGCAACAATGCCAGCTACAACAGTACCGATCAAATAAACCATGAATCGCCATAAGACTTCAAATTGTGCTGTTGAAAGCCTGCTGCGGACGTACGTTACGAATGCTACGATCTGACATAATCCAAAGACTCCCAATGCCCCCATGTGTTCAGATGTTTGTACGGGCTGTATATAAAAGAGAAATAAAAATCGTGGTACTCCCGTAGTGTGTGTACCAGGTTAGGGTTAGGCCATAGTTTTAATTCCGATTTTCCCTATGAGTTCGGGGACTGTCTGTGTTAGCCAAGCGAATATCCTCTTCCCATAGGTTTCAGTCCCTTTACACAACTTGATGTAAAGTAGGCGAAAATACTGGTACACACACTTCTGGAGCGCCAAAATCTCAATGCGAGATAGGCAAGATAAAGAGTAATTATAAAAAAAAGGTAAAAACATGAGATTATTTCAATAATATTCTTTTATCGTTTATGGTCAGTGTGATGGTCAAAGAGGCTTAGAGTGGTGGACCTAACTACGCAGGAACAGTAATGTTCCGCGGAGCACAGTTTGAGGAACGCTGCTTTAAAGAGCTTGTGAATAACTTGCAAAAAATAACAGATAAAAAACAATAACTCACCATAAACCCTACGAATGAGATTTGCATTGACAGAATAGTTCCGACACAATACACAGTTGTATAAGCAACATACATTCGATGAGAAAACCTTCCAGTTATTATACAAACCAACACATGGATGGGTATCAAGTTGATCAGGAAAACGTAGCCTCCCCACGACGATACCTGGAAAATTAGTTTTTTTGAATGTGATATAAAGTTTTAATCGCTGACAATTTGACAAGTTATCGACGTTGTTTACTATGCAATTCAAGGGTCCTGCTGCAGACTGACACAAATGTATTTCTGTGACATTTCGTCTGACCAAAATCAGACTTCCTCAGACAAGCAGTATACAATTATTATGGATTATTTTTTTTTTTTTAAAGAATTTGATCAAAGCAAAGTTACGGGCGGTCGCTATACCTAGAAAAATAGGTCAATTTACAATAGTCACGATTTTTATAAGCTCAGATACACTCGTTCAGAAACCAAAAAGATGCATCTATGAGAAACTTTGGGAGTCCCCACACTCTAAGGTAAAGAGAGTCATCTATGAGAAGGAAAGTTACAAGCTGACCATGTAAATTTTGGCGATGCATTACCTGAATAAATATTTTATTTTAGAGTGATTTAAAGGTTTAACGTCTGCCAAGTCAATTTCAAGTTGTCTACTATGCAATTCAAGAGTTCTACTGCGGACTAACACAAATGTATTTCTGTAACGTTACGTCTGACCAATTTCGGACTTCTCCAGACAAGCAGTATACAACAATCCTGGAGTTTATATTTAAAGAGAATTTAATCAAAGCAAAGCAAAACAGGCACTCAGTCGGAAGTAACAGAGACTGACTTCGCTCTAAACAAAGCTACAGGCGACTGCTGAAATACTAAGGACTGCAGAAACCATGATGATTTATGGTGGTAAAACTGGTAATATCATGCTATAGTCTAGCAATAGTTCATTTAACTGAAACTGCTTCAAATTAGCATAAACAGCTAAAAGAATAGTTAGATTAGTTAAGCCATGGTCCTCTTGGCTAGAGTTACCACCATAGCATTAGACCTAACTAAGTCAACGGGATGAAATCCTTGAATTTAACCTCTCAGCCAGCTCACACAGGATGCACACAATTTGATAGGCGATGCCAAGGAAAGATTCTGACGCTCGACAAATAGCAGGTCTGTAGCGACCTGTGAGCTATTTTAAGAGCATTTACATAAAAAACTTACCATGTAAAAATATGCAAGAGAGCACAAGATTCCCCAGAACACGCTTCCAGTCTTGACTGCTTTTATCCAGAGGAAATAAGTGAACAACATACAGAATATAGCAATTCCTTCATTATCATAAGAACCTAGAATAGAAAATGAAAAAGATTGGAAATGAAAAAATGGTGTTGGTACAGAAGTATGATATGAATGGGTTTGATGGATAATGTTTAGACAGTGATAGCTACGACCACCTCAGTAAGTTGAGGGGACAAACTCTGTTTAACGCTGAAATATTCCTAAAGAATTGAGAACCATGGGTTTGAAGAATATTTGATGGAGGAAGCCATCCATAAACAACCATTGGTAGCCTTAACCACTTCAGTTCATGCGTCATACAACATAAGCAATAAATGAAAGCTCACAGCCAACAGAACATGGCAGCTTTCATGCCTATATCACACTTTGTTACAATTTGCAGAACATAGTAAACCAACATTTCGCTGGCCAATAAAACTCCGTCTGATATGATCTAGTAATCAAATGAAAGAGGCCAGGCCACAGTTTATTATCTTAATTTCCTCTCCTCCTTCGGATAAAAATCAAAACATATCATCTTATTCTAAAAGAGCATCTTCTAAATAACGTTGAATTCATACCTGCTACAGATCTTGAGATATAACCCGGAACTACCGAGACAAAAGCAGCTGCGGCCAACCCAGCCCCTGGGTTTGCAAGTTCCTTCGTGAGATGGTAAGTTACTATGGTGGTGAAAGATGAGAAGAGAGGTGCCAGAAACACACACACGTTTCTGATATCAATCGTGATATGGAAGAAATTCAGAGCGTGATAAAGGGCAGCTGATGTCACCATAAGACCTGAAAAATATTATGTTAGTGAAATTAATGTGGTTTGCTCTCAATAAGGCTTCAGACAGGTAAATACAATGGAACTTCAGCAAGGACAAGTATTCTTATATCCAAGCAGTACACTAGTACTGCTGATACCGATGCCACTATATGACCTGAAAATAAAAGTTAAACTAAATAATTTTTATATATATCCTGGCAATAAATAAGCAAACCATACCCTTGTATATTGAAACATCGGTGCTCCCGAAGTATGCGAACCAAGATGGCGGACATCGGAACGTAACATTGGTAACAGGTTAGGGTTAGGCGATAATTTTTTTCAAATTTTCGTTATTTTAGTCTTATTATCAGTTCGAAAACTAGCCAAGAGCCTCCCGTAGTATTTATAGCTAAAATTATGGCCTAACCCTAACCTAGTACACATATTACATTCCGATGTCCGCCATCTTGGTTCGCATATTTCGAGAGCCCCAAAACATCAATATTAAATGGCAAATGGAACCTTTTCTTAATACCTATGTACTGTCTATATTGCGGCCCGATATCCTTCTACGGATGAAACCATTCAAACGGAAATTGGGATCATATCTACCCCTAATCCCAACTCACTGTCTATATGGCAGCTCAATGAGACTCTCATAGAGAAGGCTATTTTTTAAAAGGCAATTGGGACTTTATTTACGCAACTTTGAAAATTTAATAAACATTATTGAAATGCAAGACTTTTGTATCACCGAGTACAGCCTTTTGATTTATAGTACCGGTAGATTCTCACAGCCAGTGCATATGGCACCACTAATACAAAAGCACACCCATAACCAGTGGTTCTCAAAACTTTTTTTAAGCCACGCTCCCTTTTTAGAATTTGTCAAAGTCCCATGCCCCACCTCAAAAATAACTAGCTACAATAAACCACAAATAACAGATAGTAAGATGAAAGTATGTTTAATTCAAAAAACACATCCAGAATAAGTCAGGCAAGATCAAATCTAACAAATAATTTTATTTTTAATTAGCTTTACGCTTCCACAAAAAATTGCCTATGCCCCGTTGTGGGGCGTCCCCCACAGTTTGGGAACCCCACCCACAGACCATCACGAATATACCAACTAATAAACTATATCATTAAAATAGTCGAATACAAACCAGGATATATGGTTCCACCGATAATCCTTCCAAGAGGATACCAGGCCGTATCGTCAAACCAGTTATGGAACTTGTAGAAACCTTCTTCTGTCAAATACCTTGTTGTTCGATAGTTGAAGTACGGATCAAATTCGTGAATAACAGACTCAAAACGAAGAACAGAGAACAGTCTGACAGAAAATGCTATAAAAAGAAAATTCATGATTAGTAATAAATAGTCTGTTTGCTCAGAGGGAGTAACAGTCAAACATTTTCACACTTTAAATATAAATTGGCAGAGACTAATGATAGATTTAATTTTTGCTATGAAAAATGCATTAGACAACCAGCAATAAGAAATATGTACCGGTACTCATATGTATGTCTCACAGAGAATGCTATAGAAAGAAAATTTATGATCGATGTGTTTGCTCAGAAAATGACTCAGACAAGCAACAACAGACATGTATACTTGAAATAAGTAAGCAGGAAACTCTTAAGACTTAAGTTGCCCTATTTATGAAATTTTACTTTAGCCATCTCATCTTTAATAGTTTGATCTCAAAATCAAACATAGTGCTGATGTCTCTCTCGCTCTGTTTGTCAGATTAGGTTGAGATCAATATAGGCCCCAGCTCAGGGCTACTCAACTGGCGGACAGCGGTCCGAATCCGGACCTTTTGAGTCATTGATTTGGACCGCATTCAATTATTTATTTCAGATCATTAGCCCCACTTTTGAAGTTTTCTTTTATGAAAAGAACTAAAACGACATAATAAACAATCTTGATTGGCTAATAATCATTAGCCGGCTGAGCTAGTGCGTGTTTAAGGATGCCGAAATATAATTTTTGAAAAGGCCGGACCCAAATAATTTTAAAGTTGTGTATGCGGATCTTCGGTAAAAATAGTTGAGTAGCCCTGCCCTAGCCGAATAGACCTAATACCATGATCATGGGTAGATGGGATCATAGGTACAGGTGGTTGGGCTAAAAGAGTCAAGAGTCAACGTTGGAGTATGATCAATCGCTTCTAGGAATGAGCCAAAATCAAATTGTTGCAACATGGGGAAATTACCATTATTGTCAATCTTATTTTTAACCAGTTTTCTTTAAATTGATCAACTTTAGGCCGGGTTAGCACAGACAATAAAGGGTGGATTCTGAAATTTCTAACTGCCAAGTTAGATGATAAGTCAGACCGGGTCCAGCAGAAGATCGGAAAACGTGGGTATTCAGAAGTCTTTGAGGGTCTAAAAACGTATGATGCAGAAAATTTTCTTTCTACATTTCACGTGAGGGGTTTCGACCCGCAAAATCACCCCACCTGGGTTAGCCCCTGGGTTAGGCTTTTATTACACCTTCCTAACTTGAAATAAACAGAATTAAAAAAAAAGATCCCTAATGTTTAACCTGTTCGACACTCCTTATCGAGCCCAATTTTGTATACCAATTTTTATTCATGTCAAACGACCCCCAAAATTTACCCAATATACAATAATTATATACCATTGCAAAGGTCTTTTAGAGTACTATACGCTAGATGTCACTGGAGGACCATATAATCGTGAGACAAGGAGAATTTGCGAGATAAAACGCCTATGTGAACTAACTTTTTTTCGGTGAGGCAGCTGCGATCAAACGACTCGATATTTTTATAACTTCCTGACGTTGAGAGATGTCCACTCTCCTATGTTATGTAGCATATAAAAGGACCTTCAAAATAAGACCTTATCATACTAGCTTTTGTTATTGGTTAGCGCGCAACGCCAAGGTTTATTGAATTATTTTCTTGTTGTGCGACGTTTTTCTATCGCAGCGGGAAGTACACTCGTGAAATGTAAGCGATATTTTATTACTTCCAAATGTCATATAACGTTCATTCTTATATTGCTGGGTAGGAAATGAGCTATTCTTCCAAACAAGACCATAACAAACATTCCAGACCTCATGGTTTACACACAGCGTCTGAAATTGCGCTAATGCACCGATTCGCATAGAACAGGTTAATGAAGATAAACATATGCACTTACATAAAATACAACATACTGCCAGTACCATCATCTTCAGCAAAGTGTCTTGCTTATCAAGAGACATTCGAAGGAATCCTGAACGACCCATCTTAACTAAAAATAAAAAGAATGTTTAGCTCTTGTAAATTTTTAATAGTATTTTGTATATTCAGTATGGCTCTGATTCTAAGAATAGTCCCCACATTGAAAGACATCAATTATAACAGTCAGCAGTGCATACCCCTCTTCTACGAGACAGTCCAGGCCTCCATATCGGCAATAAACTGAAAGGAAGCGCAAAAAGGATTTCCATGTGCAAAAATTACTATGCTACTCCCGCTACTGCACTAGAAGCACTTGAGGTACGAAACTACAAGAGACCCCACGTTTTTAAATTCCAGATCATGGTTTGGCTGACCCAAACACCGTAACACAAAAACGCTGTAACAAGGCAGCAACGAAAGCGAGTACAGTAGTAATCAGGTTATGACTTGCAGATGACAGGACTGCAGGATGAGGTTATCCATATTTCCTCTACAACCAGACAACTGAACTGACATTTTCATATAGGCCTAGCCTAGCCTATTTCAATGTGCATTATTGAGTACGTAAAAGGCCTAAAGTGCAACCAGCATAGGATAAAGATGCGTATGGCAGTAGTGTGCAATGGACTACAGCGCACCACTTTCTACTGCAATCGCTTATTTATGTACCGGTATTCGTTTGCTTGAAGACTCAAGAGACTTGCAAAGTGTCTCATCTTCATTTAATAATAGCAAAACTACGACAACACTTCAACAGGCTATATTCATTTGTACATACCTTTTATTTATTATTTCCCCGCTATCCGCAAAAGAACATCCGACGAAAATTCCTAGTTCGTTCCAAAATTCACATTAAAAACAAACAAAACCTAAAGCACCAACGAAGTCCAAGAACCAAACAATCCACGTCGCAGACATGCCACATCAACCGGTGTATGACGTCATCACTCTTCTACGTGTCAAAATTTTTGGGAAATATATTTCAAATTTGCATGTTCCTGGTGTATTTTCAAAATTTTGAATGTTGAATTTCATCATAATATTTATATAAAATATATTTTTCTGTCATGTATTGTCGTAAGATCTCTGTAACTCAATAAAACTATTCAAGCATGACTAAGTAAAACGAAAATCAAAAAATATAGGTGTATTTCCACTGCAGGGTTATTTCTGGTGGTACAGGTGGTATATTTCTTGTTAGGGCTCATGTTTTGACTTGAAAAATTATTAAATATATCCTATTGTGCATTTTTTTCATAGAACCAAAAGAGCAAACATTTATAAAGGACGTATATGCGCAAGTAAATGTAACTACCTTCGCCGGAACATTTCATTATGATAAATATGTGTTGTGGATAGATTCGACCAGCATTTTTTGATTTTTATTTCCAAGTATGAGTATACTGTATACGTTTGGGGTGGAATTTTAGATTTTAATTTTGTTTACTATTGTTTTTTTTATACGATCTTTGCCAGTCTTCCGATATGACACACGACTTATGCTTGAATAACTTCGGAACACATCCGGTAGATGTCGATATAGGCACACACACCAGTCAAAAACAGGCTCAATGAAACATTCTGATATGCCCTCAAATAAAGTCACAGAATTGCGAATCCTACAATTTTTCTTCGAGAGTGATAATAGCAATGATAGCACGTACGTCGAACGCACCAACAGCCCAACATACGAGATGGTAAGCAAATTCGATGTGACTGCCATTTCACCTGTTGTGACGTTTCTTCTGTTACCCTCTGCGAGTCGATGATATAGCCAGCGTGTTTGACTTCGGTTTGAAATCATATATAGAGTACAGCCGGTGTTAACAAAACAATGTAAATTGCTGACGTTTCACAAGGACAGAGAAGTTGTTCTGTGCAGAAGTTCGAAACGTCGGCAAATTTCATCGTTTTGCGAATATCGGTTGTACTCAAAATTTTCTTAAAACGAATATACCTCGTAGCAATGATGCCAATCGGAACTCTTCGGGTTAATACTAGAAATGAATTGTTCGTGTGATAGTACTATTTTTACCACGGTATTGCAATTTAAAGAAAATTTACTCAAAGCAAGGAAAGCAAGGCCTCGCACACTCAAATGGAAATGAAGAAGATTCATCTCTGAGCGAATTTAGGATGGAATTTACATATTTATCCCGGGGGAGAAGAAAGTTGATAAAATGGCTTATCCATATGGCAAACCACGGCCTCTCGTCCGATTACCATTTCATGTCGGATATGGGATTAGTTAGTTATTTGTTTTCGGAAACATTGACTTGATAGTGGAGGAAGCCGTAGTCGACTAGAGCAGTGGTTCTTAACCCCCCCCCCCCTCCCCAGCCCTAAGCGGGAGCTCACAAGATGGAATCGAAAATTTACATGTAACGGCTCCTAAAATGGTCTCCGTGTTCGTTATAAATACCGGCTTTTTCGTGGTATAATAAATTTTTCTGTCTCGTAATAACTACAAGGATTCAACAGGTCTCTCTATTTTAATTCCTTTGTGTTCAAGGTAACTCGCGGTTGCGGCGACTCATGTCAAAATAAACTCATTACCGTTCTAAAATACCACGCCAATCCGCGAACATACTAAAGTGTGATCAACTGCCCGATTATATTTAGTTTTGATATATATTGCACTCGTGCGAATTCGTTGTTTTCATTAGAAAGATCTGGTATAATATCTCAGAAAGTATATTTGATTTAGTACAATTAAAATACTTATAAAGTATATTAGTAGATGAAAATTATATATTCATCGACTCGAAATCCCCGCGGTACGGATCACGGTAATCCGCAACCATAAAAATGTGTGGCAAAGTGCCCGATTACATTTGTTTTGATTTGTATTCTTGCCAATTTCATCATTATGAGCTGTCCCTGCAACTCTTACTTCGCTCTATCGCAATGTTCGATTAATTTTCAGATATCACCGTTACAGAAATTCTTTAGTCCGCGATAAAATCCCACGGAATAAAATTTATTTCAAGTCGGTAGTTTTAGAACACTACTGGTATGCCGTATTCTATAATCTCGCTTTTACAATAAAGAAATAGGTGTCATGGTTCCATTCGAGAACAAAAAATGTAATTATTTAATCGTCTTCGCGACACAAGCATATGTCGAGGGAAATTTCTGATTTAGGGAGAATAAACAGCGAAATCAAGATTTTTACAGCTTACGGTAAATAGCACGCCACGCTTACGAAAACAATCGAGATTCAAACAAAATGCAATTGCAAACGCCTTAGCGACTTTATTTTTCAGTGGTCAAGGGCCGGGGAAACGTCCACATGCATAATAACTATTAAAAAATGAATGAAATTTACATAAATTCATTTGTACTTCTCCATTTTGTTTGAAACGTTAGGCAAGCGCAGAAGTCAGTAATTGTTGCTTATTTTTAACACACATTAAATAATTTTGGCATCGTTCAATAGTGATGAAGTAAACAATTGATTGAAATTTTACATGTCTTATGTAAACGTTTAAACAGAAAATACATTAACGCATAGGTTTATTGCGTGTTTAGTTTTACTAAAGAATTAGTTTGGCTTTACCAGGTATTGCAAACTGAGGGGAAAAACGAGAATGTATGATGACCAACCATTATTTGGTTTTATACATACGACAGTGAACGGCGAAGTTGTACTCCGAAGCGTTTTATGTCTAAACAATCTGAGCATTTTATTATATAGCGACCTGCCCAACAAAAAGCATTTTTTCAAAGCAAAAAGGAGGATTGGCGCGAAGTTTGTAAAATTTTTTAAAGGAGGGCGCGACTCGAAAAGTTTAAGAACCACTGGACTAGGGGTTACGTGAACCATCATACGGCGGCGAGAACGGTGGTTCTTAATCTGGGTTCGATCGAATCCCTGGAGTTCGGTGGAGCTGTTCCAGGGGTTCGAGGAATGCCGTCTGAAACAGTTGCATATTATGAGACTTTTTTATCATCTTGCCTACTAATTATGCAAAAATACCTATAGGTAGGGTTGCCATATTTTTTTGACTTCAAAGCGGGACGCCTCCTGTAACTTTACTGTTTCCGATTTTACTACATACGAAGGTTACATACATACAATGTTAGCGGGAAACAACGAAACAAACAAAATACATCATTCATCTCTCGTAAGTACGCTAGCGTTGCGCTACACAGCAACAACAGTAACGAGAACATGTTCGTTTATTATGCTAGATGGCTGAACGCAAAAGCGGGACTTTTGGCTGACTTGTCGGAAAGGTGGGACAAGACGCTAAAAAGCGGGACTTTCTCGCCTAAAGCGGGACGTATGGTAAGCCTAGGCTATAGGTCATCTCGAATATTAAAAATTACACGCTCAACAACTAATCAATAGCGTTTTTGTGTGAATTACTTCCGCAGATATATGTTTTAGGACCGGTCGTTGTTACGCCTTATATTCCAGTATTCCACCAAAAACTCAAATCTCCACAGATGTCGTATGCTTGGGTGTGTGTACTTATCTATGATAATATCTATAATATGGCTTCCAAATATCTTAGTGACTCAGTTTCACGATTAATTAAAAATAGGCAGTAATTGTACATGGATAAATGCAAAATCAGAGCGTGTTCGAATTTCACTAGGTGATAAATGTGCGACAAGGAATACTTCATTGAAGAACTTTGCCTAAAATTATAATGATTCATTCAGGACAACCTCGTTATGGCGTCGAGTCATATATATCTCTATTTCTGTAAAATAAAACAATTGACAAACGCCTTTATCCACATTGCATTTTGAGAACAAATATCTTGAAAACTACCAACATTTATGAAACATATTATAATCTTTCAAATTTTCGAAGTTGCTATTTTTTTAGCAGTTTTTTGCTTTTACACCCGCATAACTTATACAACAAAAAAAACATCTGCTCTCCCTGCCACCGACACTATTGTGACAAAACAGTAGCTATTTCCACATGGTTGTTGATATCTAAGTTTTCATTGCAATGTTTATTTCCTATAACCTTGCAAGAAATTAGCTTCCGCCTTATAAATTAGGGTTTGGCTCCTAATTTCAACCGTTCAGTACGACTGGGGTTCGACGGAAACTTGCAGAATAGCACAGGAGTTCGGCTCACAGAGGTTAAACATCCCTGACTAAAATACGAGAGGATTGCTAGACGCGTCGCCGATGAGGTTAGTTTGCATTAAATTCATGCATCTGAAACCAAAATCTGACAAACCATGCCAATACCCGTTACGGACTTATGTCGGCTTCGCCATATTATCGCCGTCGCCGCTCTAGCCGTCTTAAAGACTGTCTTTTCATCACTTGCAATTATGATGACCGTGGATAGCCCGTGGTACATTGACACCCAGTTAAGCCATTGACTGCAGTGGCACTAATGCGATCAGCATTTTTCATTCGTCGCGTAGGATCGTAAATTCAGCATACCAGTGGGTGGATAGGCGCAAGCGCTGGTTACAGCACTTGTTATAAACCTTTCTTTAGGTTCGTCCCATTTTCCCGATCTTTGCGTCGCCCTTCTCTGTTTTTTTTATCAAATTTTTTTTTTGTTCGTGTTTTGTGTTGTGGAGTGTAGACGAAAGATCGGAATACAATTGTATCTTATCTAAGATACGACACCCACTGATCAGGCAGGACAGAGGTTGTCGAAACCAGGATTCTGGCTCAATGATGGCGAAAGGTGCTAAGCAGACTGAACCCACATGCTATATTGCTATCCCGCCAACGACTACACTGCACGGGTAATCTCGAGACAATCATGCGCGAATTGAATTCTTGGACCTATCGACTCTCTTGCTTCCTGAAATAAGTCTGAGAAATTGCATTCTGTGCACAAGATCGTTGACGCAAAGTGCCAAGCAGAAGGAACATCATGCTATCCCGTCTATGATAACATTGCGCGGATAATATCAAGGCAATCATTTGCGAATTCAATCGTTGG